TGGTTCACCCGGGCCACTCCCACGCCCTTCCTTACTGGCTGTGGTTCTGCAGCGCTTTCATGTGAGAAACTATCACCCACACTGGCTGTGCGCAAGAACCTTTGTGTACACTGCTGAGGCAGCCCCCCCACCCCCCGGGGGTGGTGCTCTTGACACGCCATCACTAGCAGTTTGGAAGCAGAAACTCACCCTTGACCATCCTCGGTGTAACCATGAGAACGGAGGAGTTAGGGCCATGCCAATCACCTGAGGACCAATGTACACCCTTACCTCTAACTTCTCAGAGACATATTCACACTCGGACATGAGCTGAGGTATGATTTCACTTTGTTTTCGGAGATCCTTCAACTCCTAAGGGAGACAGACATTTTTAAAGACACACACACAGAGACAGATAGAGACAGAGACAGAGACAGAGAAAGGGGGGAGGGAGAGAGGGATGGAGGGGTCTTAAAGCATACTCTTGAAAATTGCCTTGTAACTTGTGCACACACTAGTGGGTGCTGCTGCTCTGGGACCCTGTCTTGCTCACTTGAATACTAATGGAGGGATGCTATTCTGGAAGCACCACATGACTGCGGGTGAATGCAGTATATGACACATCAGCACGTGAAATCTGTATACACTGTAAAGCGGCATGTGTTTTTACAATTGCTCTTTGCAGTGGTAAAAACTGAGGCTTAGGGTGGTTTCGTTGACTTTCCCATGTCTCAGCCAGTGCTGTGCGCTTAACTTCCGTCTCCCAGATAGAAGTGACTGTGAGAACAGAAAGTCTGGTTGCATGACCCTGACAACGGAGGCAGAACTCCGCTTCTGTTGGCCGGTGATCTGGGAGAGTGACTGGGGCTTTTGGGAAATCTTTTCTTTTTCCCAGGTAGCACCTCATATATCCTAGGGTGGCCTTAATGAAGATGGCCTTAGAACTCCTGATCCTCCTGCCTCTATGACTATAGATCTGTGCCACCATGGTGGTTCACACCATCCTGGGGATCAAACCTCAGGGGTTCATGAACACTAGGCAAGCCCTCCACTTACTGAGCTACACTGTCACCCTCGGTTCACTCTGGATGTCATAAATAGAAGGCTGCAAGCAGCCTGTGAGGCTCTGGCTCTCGGGGGAAGCTGAACCGTGGTACAAGCACTGATTCTCCATTCTGGGATCCAGGCAGTTGCTGGAGTCCTGGGTCCCCTGCCCTGCTTTGAACAGAGGTCACAAAGGTCGCCATGCTAGGCCAGGGACACCCAGGGCCCTGCTCAGAGCACTTTACTCACCATCTCCTTCTCTCGGACCTCTGACTCCAGCTCCTCGATCCTTCTCTTCAGCTGGGTGTTCTTCTCCTTCTCCCTGTTTATCTCACCGCACTGTTCTTCCAGCTCCTCAATCTTAAAGAACGGGACAGTTAAGGCGAGCTTGCCATGATGACTTTTATGCTTCCTTTTCAAATAAGCCATAAAAGACAGCCCTCTATAGGTACCATGCAGCTCCCCTGTGCTGTCTGCCCCCGATTGCTGGAGATGCACTACTTAATCCCAGTAGGGCTGGTAAGTCATAAAGCCCAGCCTGTGTGCTAGTCTTCTGGACTTTTCTTGTGGCCACATCCAGAAGCGTAGACTTGCTTTAAATATCATCACAGGCCAGATGTCCTCTAAATTGATCTGTTTTTCCCAAGAATGGTTTTTGTATCATTTTAACCATGTCCTGAATTACCTGGTTTCATCTCAAGGGTTTCAGATGGCCAAGAAGAGAGTTTGGCAGTGCTACTGGACAGGTGCTACCAAACAGAAATCAAAGATATCTCAGTGACCTACTAGCAAGTAACCCCCACACGGAGGGGTCCTGGCTGGGGAGCAGTGAGTGTCTGAACCCAGGACTGCATCTTTTCCTGGGTCTGACCCAGGAAAGATATGGAACAGAGCCTTTGTATCCTGACACCGTCATCAGCTGCTCAGCATTTCTTGGAAACCAAAATGTGTGTGCAGAGTGGAGGGCGGGAGTGGAGCCACTAAACCATCCAAAAGCGGACGCACTGCACTGCCACACTCAGATGATGCCAGTCTCTGACATAAGGCTTTTCTCTGTAGCTGCACCAACCCCAAGATCCAAATCATCAGTTTCAGCTGACACTGAGTCCCAGCCAACACCTCCAGCCTGAGACTCAAGCATTGGAAGAGTTTCCTCTGAGAGAGGCCCACCTCAGCACTGCCTTTGGCTAACACTCAGACCAGAGGGAGAAATCCCATCCTTTGCTTGAAAAGGAGGAGCAGTCGATCCCTCCGGCAGGCAGGATCAGCCAGGGCTCAGACAGGAACATGCAGACTCAGCAGCTGGCCTGGTGCCCTGGCTGTCAGCACATTCAGCACAGGGATGGAAAATAAAAATGACAAGAGGCATCTCTGTGGGCAGTTAGCGCCCAAGGAAGGTGGTGACGTGGGCCTCCACCACAGTGGCTGGCTCTGCCCGGGCCAGTCAGGACAAGTGATACATGTGGGTCAAGAAACAAGTCCCCCGAGATCCTACACTTACGGAGCGTTCTCTGAAGCGCTGTGTGCTCACACTCAGAGGTTACTGGGCTCACACATCATAGTCTAAACAGAAACCTGAGGACATCTACTCAGGCATCCTTGAGGATCTCACAGGACCATCTCAATGCTTTGCAGAGCAGAGCAGATGAGACACTAGAGCTGGCCACAGGGGAAATCTGAATAAAAGCTAAACTCTCAGTGATCAAAGAAGGACAACAGAGAGTGTCACCCAGCAGTTGGCACCCACGTTTCTCCTCTCTAAAGATATTACTCTTTTGGCTTCCAAATTTACATTTTTAGAAATAATGATTTGGCTAAGAGCGGGTCTCTGGAAATATACACCACACTTCCTGGACCAATTTCTCATTTGTCCTTGGGTTCCCTTCCCTCTACTGGAAAGCCCAAGCCACAGAGATGCTGTGGGAAGCCCACCTCTAACGGAAGGCCAGCCTAGCGTAGGTATAGAGGAACCCTTGACAGGGATGTCTGGCTCACTTATCTTTTCCTTAGCAACAGGAATTCAAAGTCAGTAATTTCCATGATTGAAGTCCTACTAAGAAAGGCGAGAAGAGCCAGCGATGGTGGCGCACGCCTTTAATCCCAGCACTCGGGAGGTAGAGGCAGGCGGATTTCTGAGTTCGAGGCCAGCCTGGTCTACAGAGTGAGTTCCAGGACAGCCAGGGCTACACAGAGAAACCCTGTCTCGAAAAACCAAAAAACAAACAAAACAAAACAAAACAAAAAAAAGAAAGGCGAGAAGACGGGGTGTTGAAGGAGATAAAAATGTTTCTCTCCTGCCTGCAGGGTGAAGGCGGAGAGGGGGAAAGAGCTTCCAGTGGCCCAGCTCTGCCCGCTCTGGCCGGCCTTCTGTGCTGCCGGCTGCTGAAGCCCACCTTGCTGCGGAGCCTGTCATTCTCATCTCGGCAGATGGAGAACTGTCGCTTCCACTGCTCTACACTGGCCGCCGACTCCTGCAGCGCCGTGGTCAGCCGGGCGTTGCTCTCCCGCAGGGTCTGCAGTTCCATCTCCCACTTCTTCACATTGGCAGCACTGGAAGGGTGAACCGGGGTAGTGACAGAGATCAGGAGTGATGTCCATCCCATCACACTGGTGGCACCTCCATCTGCTGAGGAGTGGGAAGCTGGCTACCCCTTGGCCCACCCACGAGGGAAGCTCAGACTCTTGTCTACCAGTCAGTCAGCTGCCGGGAGGGACTGGAGTCTCTCCGGTGTGAACATGTCAGTTCACCCACTTCTTTTCTTTAAAAGTTGGCTTAGAAGAGGGGCTGGGATAGAGCCGTTCTTAAGAGCTCACACTGCATCCTGTCTCAGCTTTGACTTTTGACTTTGTGCTCAGTGAGGAAGACATTTCAAACCGAAGGAGCTAGGCTTCCCTCGGTTATTACTGCCCTTACCCCTCTCCTTGTTTTCGAGCCAGATAGTCGCAGCACTTAAGTGACCTGAGCTGACAGACCAGAGCTGGACAGGACAAACCCAAGGGAAGTTCTACTGACAGGCAGAGCTCAGTCCTAAGGGGCTTGTTGCAGGGACACGAGGACCTGAGTTTGACTTATAGCACTGATGTAAACAGGGGCAGTAATTTACTGATGTAAATCCAGGGGCAGTAGTGCGGGCTTGTGACCCCTGTGCTGGGAGGCAGAGGCAGGAGGATCTCTGTAAGTTACAACCAAGGTTTCTGGGAGACCCTGTCTAAAATAAAACAACAAAAAGAGGTGAAAGATGGGTCACTGGATAAGAATGGTTGTCATGAAAGCAAGGGGTCAGAATTCAAATCCCCAGCAACCACGTAAAAGCTGGGCATGGCCACATGCACCTGTAACTTCAGCTCTGAGGGGCAGAGGCAGATAGACTACAGAGACTGACGCAGTGTCAGCCCAGAAAAATGGTGAGCTTCAGGTTCAGCAAGAAATGGAGACTTAAAAAATCAGGTGAAAAGGGACAGAAACACCGACCTCTCCCTCTGGTTTCTGTACATGTATGTAGGTGCATGCACCCACACACATGCACACACACACACACACACACACACACACACATGTGCCATACACAAAAAATTTTCCCCAAAGAAAAGGAGCGTCCTTTTTCTAAAGACTTAAAGAAAAAAATTAAATATATACTACTATCTGTGAACAATATGTTATCTTTCTACCAACAGCCTCCTGAATCTATAAGTGACCAGGAACTGTGTGCTTTCAGTTTTAAATGCCACATACTGAATTAAAAAAAGAAAAACCAGTAAGATGTTTTTATCTGATGACTTTCAGAGGAGACGACAGAGAATTAAGCTGATCTAGGGAAGTGGCTTCACGGCTTTTCCCCGACTCACTTTCAATGGATTCAGATTTGAAAACATTTATTTTTAGGGTTGGAATATTTTCATCAGGGCATCCCACTGTGAGTTTTAAACAGCCAAAAATAGTCCTCACAATCACCTGCCAAGAGAAGAGAGTGGTCAGTTTTGACTCTGAAGCATCTAGAAAACAGTCAGCATCCAGATGCAGAAGGCGGGACCTAAAAGCCTCTTGTGCTTTCTGGAATTTCTAGGTCAGATCACAGGAATCAAGTTCCATACAGCAGCCAGGATGCTGAGCTGGGGCAGTGAATGGCAGCTCTTTGGAGGTGCAGGGGGCTCCAACTGAGGCTGTGTCTGGCTGAAGAGACCGTATCCACACATGTGAACAAAGGAGGCCGTGCAGGGAGATGGGAGGGCTTGCGTTTAGCTGTGTGACCTTGGGCAGGCAGAGAGTCACTTCACTAACTGGGCCTAGTGTCAATAGTTCAGTAGGAAAATCCAGACAGGATGGGCCTGAAGGTGATACGGCTCTTCCATGGGGAAGTCTGGTGAGAGAATCATCCTAGCTTGGAAGAGGAGACTGAGGGCATCTGGCTGAAGGCCCAGAAACAGAGAATAGCTTGTGTTATCATTTAAAAATTAAGTCTTCTTGATATCACAGAACCACACAGAAGAAACCAGTATCTTGCAAACGACACAGCTCCTTACAACCTCCAGTTAAAGGTCACCTGTGTCTGAGGTAAAGGACTGCTGACTCTGAGCACCACATACTGTATTTACTGGATGTCACACTGTACATAATAGGTATGTAGAACTGTGTGTTAACTATACATATTCTCAAAGATTTGTGTATTTGTATGTGTACACATGCATGCATATGAGCCCATATGCGTGCACACATGCATGTGTATGATACATGTGCTGGTGCTCTCAGAGGCCAAAGAATGCTGGATCCCCTGCAGCTGAAATTACAGGCAATTGTGAGCCACCCAGTATGGGTTTTGGCAGTGGAACTTGGTCTTTGTAACATCAGCAAGCACTCTTAACTGTTGAGTCACCTCTCTGGTCTCTATAAATTTTGTCCCTCTTTTATCCCCATAGAAATTATTAAAGGCAAGAAATATGTTATATGTTAAATTATTTATCTGTGACCCTCAAAAATCACTTTAGAGTGATGCATGCTTACAACCCCAGACTTGTGACTCAAGGCAGGAAGACTCAGAGTTCAAAGCTATGCTCAGATACAGAGTGAGCTGCAGGCTTGCCCATGAGCTGCAGGCTTGCCCATGAGCTGCAGGCTTGCCCATGCTGGGACCCTGTTTCAAAACAACACCATTTGCTTCCTGTCATCCTGGACATTCCTCACCAGCTGTATCTTCATGTATTTTATGGTTCTAGTTTATAAGAAACCCTCTTCTTTAAATACTATCCCATCTTTTTTATATACAGGACTATTATTGATTTTGTGTGTAATTTCATACTATTTTTCATAATTTCTTAGACTTTCTTTAAAAGTAGAATTGGAGTTTATTGAAACACAGTGGTTAACAGAAAGGTACAGGGCACACCCAGAGTGTGGGTGTGGGCTCCTCAGAGAGAAGCACTGTTTCTTGGGCTCTTAAATCCTTTTCTTAGATGTTTGAGACTCTTTCTTGTCAGAGGTGAATAAATAAGTATTCCTCTTCAAAAGCAAAACACAATTAGAGATCCAGCAGATTCTCACACACACTCACATGTAATTATATCTCCCGTACACATGCCCCACACTAACAGGCTCACACATGCTCACTGACACGGGCTGACACTGACACAGACAGGTAACAAAGCCAATTGGTCTTCCTCTGACCAGGAGGCAGAGAATGTGATACTCTGAGCAGGACCCTGCCTGGTGGGAAAGGCCTTCAGGAGACACAGCATGGAGAACAGAACGTGTGGCTTCTGAAGCAACCTCACCTCTGTGTCAAAGCGATCTTCAGCTTGTCATTCTCAGACTTGAGGTGAGTGTCGGCTGGACTCGTGTGGGAGGCCTTTTCGTCGTCCGTCCCATTGACGCTGGATGCCTGAGTGGAAGATGGGGTTTCACACCCAGATTCCTGGCCAAAGTGAATTATCTTCACATGTTACTGCTTGTCCTTACATTGGCAGCAAATTAGGCATAATGAGAAAATATGAGTTTATGAGTCTGGACAAACCCAGTCATCGCAATGTAGACTAACCAGCAGAATGGCTGACCAAGAAAATCAGTCACAGGCCTAAGGGCCCCGAATACTCCACACAGCATTGATAAGTTGTGATTTATTGACCCGATGATACCTGGGGTCACCACTCAGAGGTTTTTAATTCAAACTTTACGTTCCTATTTTCTATGTTCAATCCCTGCCAAACTTGAATATCTGGCCTCCTTAAATACCCCAGGACAGAAGTCACAATTGACAAAGGGGTTAGTATAAACAATAGACTAAGACAGTATCCCCGAGGATCTAGAAAGAGTGTCAGAAATAAGAACAGACAGATCGACAGATCCTGAGGCTATGGAGAGTTAGAACAATATGCTAATTAAAAACCAGGAACCAGATAAGGGTGCTTGCTAGCTTCAATGCTGCTTAGCATTCTTATTAATATCCTGAAGTGGTTTCTTTTAAAACCCACAAGGAGGAAAAACCTCATCTTGTCTTGAATGAGATCTTAGCTCTTGTTTAGCCAACAGGCATAAAGGCAAATAGAGGAAGTGTGAAGAGAATAGGGTATAAATTTGACTAACCTAAATTTCTGCCTTGCAAAAGAGAAGGTGTAAACGAAATTAAAATATAAACGGAAACCTGGGGGAAATACATGTAGCAGGCATTAAAAGTAAAATTTAAAGACCTTTTCCATGGTGAAAATCTTGAGTCACTTTTTAAAAATTAAAATGAAGATTTTATTTGCGTGCGTGCGTGTGTGTGTGTGTAGGTCAGAGAACAACTTCCAGGCATCCATTCTCCCACTGCACGTTCCTTGGACTGAATTTATGTCATTTCAGTCACTCGATGTTCATGGCCAGGGCTCTCGCCTGGGGGCCATCTCGCTGGCCCAAGAATCCTCTTTTTAAAAAAATATTTTTGGATTTACTCAGATACCCTGGAATTCCTTTAAAACATGGGATAGGGAGTAGGCATGGGGCTACAATAAAACAACTGGTTATGTAGTCTATGTCTAAAATTATATAGTATATGTCTAAAATTTTCACATATTAAGACGTATGCAAAGCCGGAAGCTGTGGTTGTCTGAACAAGCCTTGCACATGGTCAAGCCAGGCAATATTCTAGCATGGAGGGTGGGGTTCAAGAGCTGCTACCCTAAAGGGAGAGCTACAGATAGTTGATGTCTTCTGGAGGAGGACATAGACTCTTTAAGGATGTGTCCCCTGGTGGGTCAGCCATGCTCCTGTGGTCAGTCTCACATCTGAGAGTGTAAGGGCAGCAAGAACTGGACTTGGTGGGCTAAGAAGAAAGAAAGAAAGAAAGAAAGAAAGAAAGAAAGAAAGAAAGAAAGAAAGAAAGGAAGGAAGGAGAGGGAGGGAAGGAAGGAGGGAGAGAGGGAAGGAAGAAGGGAGGAGGGTGGATATAAGAGGAATACCTTGTGTGACATTCTCAAAGAATTAATAAATATATTATTATTACATATTTAATACTTCATTAAAAATTTTAAAGCCCTTAGAAATCAATATATGAATACTTGAATCTTTTGAAAAGTAAAGAAAGACAATGATAATTACAAAAGAAGCAATGCACATCATCAATAAGCATAAAAACCCTTAATGTCACAAAGAATGGAAAACTCCAAAGGAGATACACTTTTCATCTGTCAAATAAACAAATTCTCTTAGTGAGGTGTGGGAAGCAAAGCCTTACTCACTGCTGGTGGGAGTCAGAACTGAACATCGCTGGAGGCTAAGAGCACAGAACACCTCAGTGCTTTAAATGCCCACACCTCAAACCATGTTTCCATTTCCAGAATTTATCCTGCAGAGAAGCAATCAAATGCTCAAAGATAGGCAGGAACATTCATTACCATGGTATTTATGTTAGTAAAAAAAAAAAAAAAAAAAGGAAGAAGAAAAGAAAAAAGCACAGCTGTCTCAAATTCTAAGGAGTCAAGGGAATAAGCCATGGTGAAATTGGAATATTCCTTGGGCATTACAGAAGGTTTAAAAGGGAATACTGGAAACCAGGAGGAAATGGTCATGACTTGCAAAGTATTTTCTTAAAAAGGTTAAAAGGAGTAATAATAAAAAAGCACTAGAAAGCCGGGCGGTGGTGGTGCACACCTTTAATTCCCAGCACTTGGGAGGCAGAGGCAGGCAGATTTCTGAGTTCGAGGCCAGCCTGGTCTACAGAGTGAGTTCCAGGACAGCCAGGGTTACACAGAGAAACCCTGTCTCGGAAAAAACAACAACAAAACAAAACAAAACAAAACAAAAAACAGCACTAGAAAGGTGTAATAAGGGTTGGAGAGATGGCTCAGTGGTTAAGAGCATTGACTGCACTTCCAGAGGTCCTGAGTTCAAATCCCAGCAACCACATGGTGGCTCACAACCATCTGTAATGAGATCTGATGCCCTCTTCTGGTGTGTCTGAAGACAGCTACAGTGTATTCATATATAATAAATAAATCTTTAAAAAAAAAAAAAAAGAAAGAAAGGTGTAATAAACTACCACCTTATCTTGTGGTACGGCATGTGTTCTGAGCTTGTTTTCCAGTGCTGGGGCTTGAACCTGGGCCTTGTGCTTGTCAGGTAATATTAGGTAGTATTCTACCACTGAGCTACATCCTAGCCAAAGGGCAGTTGAGCTTTATTTCTTTCTTGACAGTCTGCTATGTTGTATTTCTCTCTCTCTCTCTCTCTCTCTCTCTCTCTCTCTCTCTCACACACACACACACACACACACACACCCTACAATAAGTGTTTTTGTAATTCGGCTGTTTAGGTTTTCAGCTATTTGGATAACTTGGTCAGAGTGTTCATTCATTGAAAAGATTCAGCTGATGGTTCAGAAAAAGAAAAACATACAGCCAAGTATCAGAAGGACAAATAAAAACTAAAGCTTAGGAGACAAAAATCTCATTTCTATCTAATGTCTTATTAGGTACATTTATCCCACAAGATAATCTTAAAGCAAAACTTTTTAGATACATGCAGACATTTAAGTACAAAGCTATTACTACAAGCTGTGGTATTTAGGAAAAGGCAGAGGATTAGAACTCTCTTTACCAGGAACCATTTCCGCAGAGTAAGTGAAACCTTTACGAATGGCCACGGTCGGGGGTGGGCTGGAGAGATGGCTCAGTGGTTAAGAGTGCATATTACAGCCAGGCAGTGATGCAGAATGCCTTTAGTCTTAGCACTCAGGGAGCAGAGGCAGGGGATCTCTGAGTTCAAGGCCAGCCTGGTCTACAGAGTGAGGTCCAGGACAACCAGGGCTACACAAAGAAACCCTGTCTCCCAAAACAAAAAACAAAAAACAAAATACAAACAACAACAATAGCAAAGCATGCATATTCCTCTTCCAGAGGACCCCAGTTCAATTGCTAGCACATGGGATTTATATCAGTGATTTGTAACAGCCTACAACTCCAGCTCCAGTGATCTGATGCTACTGGCTTCCTCAGGGGCTGTGCCCAATATCACACACACACACACACACACACACACACACACACACAAAAGCTAACATATAGTAGATTTTTTAAAATGAAAAAAAAAAAGGGCGGTGGTGGTGCACGCCTTTAATCCCAGCACTTGGGAGGCAGAGGCAGGCGGATTTCTGAGTTCAAGGCCAGCCTGGTCTACACAGTGAGTTCCAGAACCCTGTCTCGAAAAACCAACAAAACAAAACAAAAAAACAAAAACAAAAAAGACCTGTAGTTTTTACTCACATTTCCATTTCAAGAACTCAATGATTACTCAATAATTATCACACTAAATCAAACTGTCAGTGGGATCAAGGACTGGTTAAAGTTCATATCCACCAGAAGCCTAGCATGTATTCAGTCCATAGCTCCTCCTGGAATATCTTTTCTATGGCAAGCCCAATGGGTGTCTAAGTCTAGACAGACCTAGGTCTGCCTGTGCCAATCATCCCAGCCACCATGTCTGCTGGCATCCCAGCCACCACGTCTGCTGGCAAACAGGCCCCGGGTGGCTCTCATCTTCAGTGACTCTGCTCCACCCTCGGGTCTGTGAAGCTGAGGTTTCTCCTTCCCAGGGCTCCTGCTGCTCAGCTCTTCCTTCCCTGGCTTCCTAGGCTTCAGGTTTTCTGTGTGACTCAGGGTCCAGTCCTGAGTGCCGGACATGGCTGCCTCAGATGCTCAGCCTTCCTGGTCCTTTCCTTGGAGCTGACCTCTTTCTGATCACAGCTACCCAGAAGCCTTGTGAGACACACCCTTCCTCAGTACCTGCGCGTCTTACCCATGTCATATAACAACTCTGCAGGCTACTGACCACCCAGTTAATGAGACGGGTGATAAATAACGGGGAATTCCAGATCTCACAGTGTCTCCAGACTTATCTTCAGACCTGATGCACAAGTGTGCAAGGCAGACATGCAGGTTGTCCGGCTCAGCTGTCAGCCTCAGCCAAATCCCAATTCTGGAGTCCCCCTTCCCTCTTCCTACCTATATGATGACTAAGCCTTTGCTTATCAACAAAGACATCAGGTATGCTGGTATCTTTTTTTTTTTTTTTAATTTCAGGTTAAAAATGGGTCCTTTATAGCCATTATTGCCACGCTTTTAAGCAGACAGACTACACAAATCCTGGCAAAGCTGGATCTTTCCAGACTTAGAACTGTAGGAACGCCATTTTCTAGCTGCCTTTTGTTCAGACAGGGAGAAGCTTGGTGCTCTCTGGTATCAAGCATTTTCCCTAGTGAGCAGGAGGTGCCCACCTAGTGAGTAGGGGCATCTTGCTACAGATTTCCCAACAATCAGTAAACACGCTGCCTTACCGCTCACATTTAAACACTGTCCTCAAGGCTGCTGGAGTTCAAGAAAGCACAGCGACCCTGACTTAGCACCAAATGTCTCAATGCAGACATTGTGGGCTCATCAAGCCCATCCCCTTTGAAATGCTGGGAACAAATCCTGGTCTTGAGCAGGCTAAGTAAGCACTGTACCACAAGCCACAGGCTGACCTTTAAACATAGTGACTGCAGAAGTTCTTCATGGGCCAGGAACAGGCAACTCTGATTGTATCAATAGCTTTCTGTCAAAATTATAGTACTACACCTGAGAGATTCCAGCGTCTCATCAAGATATGCCACCTGCATCTCAACGAGAGCAGGCTAATAGTTGAAAAAGATACCTTCAGAATATCCTGTGATAAAATTACCCATTTCTTGCCAGGAGTGACAAGGAATAAGGAATCTCAATTACTGATCATGCTCAGATGTATTTCCCAGACAAATTACTTACTTGGGAATGATTACTTGAGGTCTCGATCTTCTCCTGGGACTTGTCTCTGGCTAGCCTGGCAGCTTCTCTTACCTCCTGGAATTTCTCTGCAAACTGAATATATAGAACAGTCATTAGGATTACTTTAATCTTATTCATGGCCGTATCCAGTACCCACCTTTATTATTTTGTATCCATGGCAAGCCTATAAATTCTGTACAAATGGCAGAAAAATTCTGTCATTAGAAGGAAATAAAGATAAGAACTCCCTTTTTTCTAATAAACACCACTGGTCACGGTCAGACTGGAACCAGTTTCAGAGTTACTGATACTAGCTGGATGCAGTAACTGAGAGAAGGCACGGATTTAAAAATCCTCTGATCGACAGTAACTAATACAAAGATATCACAAGAAATACAGCTTCTCCACAGAAGGGACCCATGGGAAAGTCCACAAACTCCTCTGGTAATGCCGTGAAAAGGGGAAACAAGGCTGGCTGTGGTGTGCACACCTGGAACCCCAGAACTTGGAAGGCCGTGCTGAGAGAATTGAAAGTTCAAAACCAGCTCACGCCACATAAAGAGGTCTAGGGCAGCCTGCTATATAAACAATGAGGCCCCGTCGTACTGATGCCGCCATCACCATGGCAGACCAGCAGCAGCAACGACAAAACAGACTCCTAAAATGTTAGGGGGAAGCTTTAGGTACAAAACAACAAAATGCTATAAACAGCCTATGTTTAAGTATCATGTAATTTGCTTTGAAATGCTTCAGCAAGAAAGGTGAAACAATGCCAGGTGGTGGTGGCGGCGCACACCTTTAATCCCAGCACTTGGGAGGCAGAGGCAGGCGGATTTCTGAGTTCGAGGCCAGCCTGGTCTACACAGTGAGTTCCAGGACAGCCAGGGCTACACAGAGAAACCCTGTCTCGAAAAACCAAACAAAACAAAACGAAAAGAAAAGAAAAGAAAAGAAAAGAAAAGAAAAGAAAAGAAAAGAAAGGTGAAACAAGATAAAACATTAACATGGTGGTTCATCTTCACGGTCAGCTTGATTCGATTTGCAACCACCTTAAGGGCGCACTTCTTTAGAATCTTCCAAAGAGGTTTCCCTGAGGAGGAAGACATACTCTGATTGAAGATCTCATCCCATGAGCTGGGCTCGGGGATGTTCAGGGGGCAGGGTGTACATACTGAGGAGTCATCTCCCTGCTTCCTGTGTACAGATGCTGTGGGACCAGCCAGCCACTTCCTGTCTTCCTTACGCCTACGGACTGCATCTTCAAAGCACAAGCCAAAAGAAACCCTTCTTTAGGTTGCATTTGTCACAGCAATGAGAAAACTAACCAACACAGTTAACTGACATCTGGCTGATACGCAGTTTATTATCCTATGTTCTCTATTTTAAAAATGTTTTAATATTTCTATAATTTAAAAAAGATTTATTTATTTATTTATTTATTTATTTATTTATTTGTATGTAGTACACTGTTGCTGTCTTCAGACACACCAGAAGAGGGCATCAGATCCCATTACAGATGGTTGTGAGCCACAGTCAGTGCTCTTAACCACTGAGCAATCTCTCCAGTCCTATGTTTCTATAATTTAAAAATCCTAAAGTAAGGACTAAAGAGAGGGCTCAACAGTTAAGAGAGCATAGTGCTCTTGAGGAGGGCCTGAGTTTGGTTCCTAGCACCCAGGTCAGGTGGCTCACACCACCGTAATTCCAGCTCCAGTAGACCCAACACCTTTTCCTGGCATCTCTGTGCACTGCACTTAAGTACACTCAGACACAAATATACACATAAACTAAAGTAAACAGAGAATCCTTAGAAAAAAAATCCTAAAGTCCCAGGGCAATCACACCAGTTACTGGCTCACAGTCACTGACAGGCAAGAATGTAATTAGCAGTTAGACCAGAGAAGTACTACAGATAACGCTGGTATTCTATATCTAGGAAGGCTAAAATGGCAACACTGAGAAACAGGAAAAGCCAGTAGGCTGCCAGACCCTGACAGCTCTGGAGGTTCGTTACGTGCTCATCTATGGGTGGGCACAGGCTCTCTCCTCTGAGCCTGCATTCTGGACCCTGATGGACAGCAGATGCTGGCAAACCCAGAACCCCATATGAAGAAAAAAGGGTATGCTTCCTATTCCAGCCTGTGCTTCCCCCAGCACAGACCCACTAACCAAGCCACAGATGCAAGGCTTCAAACCTGATCACTCCAAAGCCGTCAGAGGAAAATCATCACCTGCTGCTTAAGCACATGAAACTAACTGGGGACGGATGGATAATGCTACTCCCTCTTTGAAGGACCATGATGGGGAGAAGCCCTGCCTCTCCTTCTGGAAAACTATGCCACCCTGCCCCAGGCAGAGAACAGGCACAGGTGTGCTGTTTGTTCCTGCCTACTGAGAAGGGAGACAATCTTGGCAAAGGCTTGGTCCCTCTTCCCAAAGGAACTCTTAAGTCTGTAAAGGATTTTGCTTACATTCAAACAGACACAAACTAAAAAGGAAATTTTAGGGAGGAAAAAAAAAGCTTTAAAGTAACAAGAAAGAAGAATGAGGCCAAAGAGTGGCTTAGCTGTTGAGAGCACTTACTGATCTTGTAAACTGCAGGGCTTTGGTTCCCAGCACCCACAAGAGAGCTCACAACTCCAGTTCTAGGGGTTCTGGTGCCCTCTTCTGGACTCTTCAGGTACTGCATGCAGATGGTGCATCAGACAACAGTTTGAAGAAATGCTCATTTAAAATGGTTTGTTTATTTATTTATTTATTTATTTATTTATTTACTTATTTATTTTTATAAGCTGAACATAGTGGCTCATGCCATAATCTCAGCACTTGAGAAGCTGAGGCAGGAGGATTACTCAGAATTGAAAGCCACCAAGCCATGGCTACACAATGGATTCTAAGCCTGGACTATAGTGTGAGACCCTATCTCAAAAAGCAACAACAACAACAACAAAAATGTAAACAAACAAAACAAATCTATGTGCTACCAGTTGATATGGACAGAGCAGAATGAGCCATGAGAATTGGGTCCTGTCAACTAAACAGAAGTGAGCTTAGGACAGAAGGCAAACAGGAAATGATTGGGGAAGGCTATTCAGCTATAAGTGGGACACTAGTGTGCCGAGCTCCTGATGAATTAAAAGGCAGTTATGAAAAAAGATTGACTTTGGAAATCAGTCCTAGGTGCAAACAGAATCAAGCATTTATCAAATCATGGCTGGAGGGCTAGGATAGTAATTTTCTCAACTTGGAAGACATGAAAAGAAAATCACAGACGTGACAGGTTTGACAATGTAGCAATTCAAAGCTTTTAAATGTCAAATGGAAAAACAAAAAATCAAAAACAAGAAAGAAAGAAGGAAAGAAAGGAGGAAAGAAAGAAAGGAAGGGAGAAAGAAAGGAAGGAAGAAAATCCCCACTCACTCAGAAGAGAAACAGCAGCCAGGGAAGTGTCTTCATCCAGGAGAGGACAACAGAAAAAAGGACCATTACTGTTTGACAGAGTTCACACAAGATGAAAAGGAAAATATAAAAACGCCAATAAATAAATGGTGAAATTCATGAGCAAAATACAGCAAATAAACAGTGTATAAGGAGGGTTGTTCGGCCTGGCTGGAATTTGAAGCATAAATAATAAGGTACCATTCTTTGCCTGTAAAATTAGCACACGCTAAACACAATCCTAAACCCCGGTGCTGGCAAGGTCTTTCTGCTTTGGTACGTGTTTTGGTACAGCCCCACTGAGAAGCAATTTGAAAGCACATACTGTGAGTGACAAAAATATTCATACCTACTGACACAGTGAGAGAGGTCCTGGGGAACCGCAGAGAAAATAATTGAGAATATGAAAAAAGGGACCTTCAATATAGTGATCATAATCCCAGCATTAGCCACAATAATGAAAACCTGGAAGTGATCCAAAACCCCTGTGAGCATCTGGGAGATCACTACCGTGAGAGCAAGAGGCAGGAGCAGAAGACCCAAAGAGTTATCATCCGCTGGAGATCACCTCTGGGCCTAAAGCTTTCTAATATTTCTTTCTTATTATATTAAAAAGCATATGTGTGTAAGTGTAGAAAAATATTGTTTTAATTTTTTGTTATTGTATCTGTCAGAGAATAGCCCGTGGCATCAATTCTCTCTCTGCACTTTGACGTGGGTCCCGGGGATCAAACTCAGGAGGGTATGCATGCGGCAAGCACTTATACCTGCTGAGCCATCTCAGTAGCTCCAGAAAAAAACTGTTTTTAAAACCTATGGTCTCACCATTTAGAGATGAGCACTAACCAAAAAACATCCAATATATTTCTATATGTATATATATATGCATGCATCACTTCTTTTAAAAATGAAATGATATCCCAGATCTCATTTTATAGCCAATTTTGAAATTAATAATATGGCATTAATACTTCCAAGCATTTATATGACTTTCTTCTAAATTATCTTCATTGCTGCATAATATTATCCTGAAGGACACACCAGGCTATCTCATCAATTTCCTTTTTCTCTTCCCTTTTTAAAGTACAGGGCTCTCACTATATCGCTTTGGCTAGCCTGGAACTCACAGAGATCTGTCTGCCTCTGCCTCCCAAGTTCTGGGATTAAAGATGTGTGTTACTATGTCCATTAACCAGTTTCCTTATGCTGGATTTTTAGTTTGTCTGTTTCTTACTCTGACCCAGCAAGAATATCCCTGTAGTAGCTACACCATGCCACCAACATTTCCTTACAGTTTCCTAGGGTAAACCTCATGGATTGAAGAATATTTAAAACAGGGTTTTCTGAAATACACTGCCAAGTACATGGCTTATTTATTTTTTTAATTCTGAGGTGATTTTCTAACGTTTCTAAAGTTGCAATAATTTTAATCAAAACTGTCATCATTTATGAAAAACAAGACTGCTTGACCTTATTAATGACTATTTGGGGGTGGGGTGGCTCTTGAAGACCTGAACCCTATCTACCTGAGGATTTTCTTTTTATCAGCTTGACAGAATCTCACCGTTATCAGAAACAGTGAGGAGGAAAGAGGTTGGTCAGGTTCACGGTGGCAACCCACTTCATTACTCATTCTGTTTGGTTTGGAATGGAAGGCTGGGCACCCAGGGCTCGCAAGGAAGCCAGGAAGATGTCTATCTCTGTTGTTTGTTGGTTGTTTGCTTTTCAGAAAAGTGCTGGGAGCCACCTCCTGCTTTGTTCTATGGATGCAGGATGACTAGAGAAGAAAGACCAACAAAAGGAAAAACAAACAAAAGAAAAGGCACCGAACTCTCAGAGCCAACAGGGCGGAAGTAGGGTATCTCAGTCACTGTTGCTGCCAACAGGCACCGAGACCAAGGTAAAGCTTACAGAAGAAAGCATTTGATTGGGTCCTTCTTCACAACATATCTTGAATCTGGTGTTTCTGACACTCCCGCTGCTGTTCTGGTACAGGCCACTGTCATCTCTGATCTGGGTTTGTAGTATAGGTTCCTAATGGGTCACACCTCCACCTCTGCCTCCACAACAGTCTCTTTCCGATACAGGAGCCATAGCATAGCTAAGGCTAGCAATGTACACCTATGATCTTAGTACTCAGAAGTCAAAGGCAAGAGGATGACAAATCTGAGGCCAAGCCTGGGCTATCTAGGGAAACTAACTGCTCTGTCTCTCTGTCTGTCCCTCTCTGTCTGTCCCTCTCTGTCTGTCCCTCTCTCTCTCTCTCTCTCTCTCTCTCTCTCTCTCTCTCTCTCTCTCACACACACACACACACACACACACACACACACACACACACACCCTTCAGAGTCACTGTCATATTGCTGTGAAGAGATACCATGACCAAGGCAACACTTAACAAAAGAAAGTACTTAATTGGGAACCTGCTTACAGTTTTGGAGGGTTAGTTTACTGTCACAATGGCAGGGTGCATGTGGCATGCATGGTACTGGAGCATTAGCTTTGAGTTACTGATCCATAGGCAGATGGAGAGAGGTGATCCCCTGCTTAGGGAATGGTATTGCCCACAGTGGACTGGGTCTCCTTACATTAATTAACTAACAAAGACAATTCCCTACAGAGATACCCACGGGCCAATCCAATGTAGACAACTTCTCATTGAGACTCTTTCTCAGGTGGTTCTATAAATGTCAAATTGACAACTAAGGTAAGTACTACACCCTAGACTACATTATCGAAGCTGAAAGCAAACACCACATATGCAGATGAGTTAACTGCATCTGCCCTGGAGCAGTGGAGATTCTATTCTGGGCCATTCCCCTAATTAAAGAACAAGTTTCTCTCTGTCTGCAGTGAGTGAGAAGGGAGCAAACTCAGAACAGTGGGAAAGTGAGGTCAGATGCCAGAACGACGAACTTTAATGACTGCCGCACCCTTTAACCTGGTTCTAACTCTGCTAGGTTCTTTCCAGAATCTCATCTTATCAGAGCATACCCGCTCCTTTCCACCATTCCTCAGTAAGCTGAGGAACTGTGTCTTCTCTAGCGGGTGGACCCATGGATCCCCATTTCATTCCAGGAATATATAACTTTTAGTATTTTTGGAAAGCCTGTCTAAGGAGCAGAACGTTTCTGTGCCATACTTCCTGGGCTGTGGTGGTGGTGTGGTCCCTCAAATGGAAGCTGCAAAGAACAAGGTACCTATTTTCTTTCTGGGGGTTGGAGAGAGAACGACATATGAAAACGTCCACACTGGTGTTTCTCTCTCCAGCCCACACTGTCTGATTACCGGTCCTGCTGTAGGTCTGTGGGTGTCTGCACTGTTAAGTCAGAAATACCGAGTCACAGCTGCCCTTCAGCCCAAGCTTAGGAACCTTCAGGCCCCTCCCTCTGTGCTAGCTAATTGCCCCTTGTTGAGGCTGCTAGCCTCAGTTCAGGGCAATTTATCAGTGTGTGGTTAATCGCTCCCTTCAAAGCAAAAGCTGATTTGAAGTATTTCTGGATAAAGGACATATTTGAGAGCTCATCTCAGAAATCTCTGTGATGATGGCAGGTCCTAGTCACAGGGTAGAGATGTCAGTGTTGTCAGAGACTCGAGACTCAGGAAGAAGGGACACTCCTCCTTAATAACAGGACATTTTCTTCATCTGGGAGAAACTGGAAGTAGCTCAGATCAAGGTCTTTTTAGGTCCCAAGGCAGGAACATTCAGTTTGTTCTAGTTTTTGTGTGAAGCTGTCCTTTGATTCCTTTCCATGGAAGCGTCTCCTTCATCCATCCTCACTACTTTCTTTTGTCTACAGATTGAAAGGATTGTACCAGGAAGCTGTGAGTGCTTCCGTCAAACTACCCTGGGCTCCAGGGAACTTCTGAGTTGGGACAGAGGCAGAAAGCATGAGCTGAGCTGGGCCCAAACAGGACCTGATGTTTGCCCAGCAGTCTGAGCCTACAGGACCATCTATGCAGGTTGAAGAATGAATGGGCAGGCCTGAGTACTGGGTAACACGAGGCAACCTCCAGCATCTCCTCTCCCTACCCTGCAGCTCATGGGGCTGAAAACCACAGAAACCCCTGCTCCACTGTAGACATAGGAGGTACTGGCCATCACATCCTCGGTCATTATCACAGTGCACACTGGTCCTCTCTGCCACCATGGCTCTGTCCCCACCCCCCTTTCCCCATTTCAGAAGAGGTTGCCGTCACCTCCCCTCGGGCCTTGGGCTCCCTCACCCATCTGACAAAGTTCTTCCAATTTTTAAAGATTTATTTACATAATTATGTATCTGAGTACATTGTAGCTGTCTTCAGACACACCAGAAGAGTGTATCAGGGTCCATTACAGATGGTTGTGAGCCACTATGTGGTTGCTGGGAATTGAACTCAGGACCACTGGAAGAGTAATCAGTGCTGTTAACCCCTGAGCCATCTCTCCAACCCACCAACTTTTAAAAATTCTTAAAAGTTCTCCATCTCTTCTTCAAATCTTCCTCAGTTCTACCCTGAACTGAATCTGACTTGCTTCCAGGAAAATAAATAAATAAATAAAATAAAATAAAATAAAATAAAATAAAATAAAATAAAAATAAAATAAAATACACCTATCTGAAATGCAATTCTGGTCACTTTACTTTTGGGTTAAAATCCTTCTAAGGTCACAAGATAAAATTCAGAAATCCCAGCATGCTCTACAAGATCATCTAAAAGCTGGCTTCTAGCAGTCACAGCAAATCAGGGAAGCCTTGGTGACAGTCTGCAGCTCCTCTCTAGCACACAGCACGGTGCCAGCGCTGGAGGAATGGCAATGGGATACCTGGAGGCATGCCTTGAACACCCTACTGAGCCAAGCATACAAGAAAACCTACACTAGACCCGGGAAAATCAGCAAGGCCAGACGTGTACGGGAAGGGAAGAAACAGACCTGGACAGTTAGTGACAAAGACATTTGGGAACTAACAATGTTACTGGTCACAAAGTGTAACCATTCCCTAAGAAATAGTCATATTCCACATGAATGCCCCTCAGAAATCCCACTCTTCAGAAGACAAGTCTTTCTGGAAGGGCTCTCTGTGGGGCTCGACACAACCTCCTTACGACCAAAAGACCTATGGATGAACCAACCACGGTGCCAGAAGAAAAGATGCCATACGTTCTACACAAGACACACCTGTTCTCCATAGTCATCCTGACCTCTGACCCCACAGGGTGCCCAGTTATGTATCACGGGGCAGAGTGAACAACTAGCTCCTTGGAGGAGCGGTCACACTGGGCCCTTTCCCCACAGACATAGTAGGACTTCACTGGGGGTTGTGCTTCTGAGATGGCCACGCATCTGCCAGCACTCCCCGCCACCCCCAACTCACACCTTCATCTAGAGCAGGGCTTCTCGGCCTTCTTAATGCTGTGACCCCTTAGTACAGTTCCTCACGCTGTGGTGACTCCCCAACCATAAAATGTTCTTTGTGGCTACTTCATAACTGTGATTTTTGCTACTGTTATGAATTGTAATGTAAACCATCTGATGTACAGATGACCCAGAGAAAGGGTTGTTCACCCCGCAAAGGGGTTGGGACCCACAGGTGAGAGCCACTGGTCAAGTGTCTTCTTTACATCACGCTGCTGAAGACCTGGGAAGTCTGTGGAGACTGTGGAGCCCGCAGCAAATGAGGAGAAGCTAGTGTCTGATGGCCAGAGGATCCTCAGGTCCTGGAAGGCTTCATCAGACGGAGCAGCAGGCTGGCAGAGCTCTGATATACTTCTCCCTTCTAGAGCACCCACCCCGCCCTCACCCCACCCCTGCCCCCAGCTCCACCCATAGCATAGTGGGACAGGGTTTAGGAGGAGAGTCTGTCATGATAACCAATGTCCTGGTAACTTACTAACTCTTTTTCCTGCCGTGACCAGATAGCTGCCAAGAACAAACTTCAGGATGGAAGGAGTTACAGCTTAACAAGGGGTGTGGTTCACCACGGTTGGTCACCATGGTTGGTCACCACGGCTGGGGAGGCATGGTGGTGGGAGGTAAAAGCTGGCCACACCACAGAAAGAGAGGCCAAGCTATTAAACGTCAAATCTGGTTCCTATAGAGCCACCTCCTCCATCGAGGCCTTGCATCCTGAAGATCCTATAACCTTCCCAAACAGCATCACCAAGACCAAAACCATGAGCCTGTGGGGGACATTTCACATTCTAACTATACCTCACCTCAGCACTTCCGCTTCTTGCCCTGTGTTTCTGGACTCTGTAGTGTCCAGACAATGGACACTCAGACAGCCACCAGGCCAGCTGACTGTCTCAGGCCTGGTGAGCTTTCTTTACTCCACAGACTGCTCAGTTTTCATGGAGTCTGCCATTTCAGAAAGGGCTCTCCCTCACCCACAGCAGCATGGGCTACTAAAGGGGAGGGGCATCCAACCATCTGCAGCCTGCTGTGGGAAGGAGCACCTACCTTCGTGAGCTGCTGCTCCGAGGAGAATCCCAAGCCGAACACGGTGTTGGCTCTGCTGTCGGCCCACTGCCCGAACTTCTGTGATGTTTTGGTGAAAGTCATGTTTGGGGTGATGGTACTGTTTATGATCACCTGCAGGAGACAGCCAGAGGGAGAGTGTTAGCTAGAGCCTTTCGATCTTGTCCTGACAAAGCCAGTGGCTTCCAGGCACTTCCTCTGCTGTATTTGTTTCTGAGTTGTTCTGACCAGTGTAGACACACAACCAGGAGAAAGGCCATTTCAAACACTTAACAACAGAACAGTCTGAAACAGGATCTTTCATGTTATCAACAGGAAAATACTTCTCCCAAGAAAAGCATGGTTTCCAAAACTGATGTTTTATTGCCCCAAACATACAAAGCATAAAAGTATCCTTAAAGGCCAGCCATGTGCACATTCCCAGAGGAACCACCCCACCGCCTCCCACTTTTGAAATCCCTGCCACTCAGATATCCAGACAAACCAGTTAATACTTCCACCAGCAGGAGGGCCTTTGCTTCCCCAGGGGGAGGAGAAGACATTCCAATTTAGAGGGTAGGTGGAAGGTTAACAGATCTAGATCAATCATACTGGTATAAGCAGGGGTCTGTAAGGAAGGACACAGGAGCCTAGTGCTGGCTGTTACCACCTATGACCTCAAAAAGAAGAAGAGAGGTGACAGACCCTGGGAGAGAAGACTGTGTAGAACATGTGTTTTCTAATTTTGTATTTCTGGTTAGCAGAATTGCTGTCATGAAATAAATGTCCAATAAATGTTTTTAATACAGAAATGAATGCATCATGTACCAGATGACCCATGGGTCAATCACAAACACACCCGAGGGGTCCCTTGTATGTTAGTAGATAAAGTCTGACCAGTTTAGCACACATCTCCCAGGCTTGCCCCTAACAGGCTGTCCCAGAGTTAGTCACAGTGCAATAATAAGAGGGATGCCCTCACATTTCTTTAAAATCAGACAATTTCTAATTTTTATAAAGTATTTTTATCTGATCTTATCTTTAAAGAAGGGAAAACTGAAGCTCAACAAAGTCAAGTGACTTGTTCAACCAGCAAGTGGTTAAAAGAACACGGTAGCGGTAAGAGAATGAGCCAAGGGAAACAACGCCATGGGAGCCGTGAGAGGCTCTAGGAAACAGGCAGAGTCCCTATTCACCTCCGGTACATTTCACCTCGGGTGCGTTTCACCTCGGGTGCATTTCACCTCGGGTGCATTTCACCTCGGGTGCATTTCACGTCGGGTGCATTTTGTTCCCTGGATTGTTCTTGGACATGATTTTTGTGTTTCGTGTGACAAACACTTACATTCAATTTATATGACATGTTTATTCTTGTAGGATGTCAGACATAGCTAATAGAACCCAGTCTGGTCAGTGTGCCCTGGAGCTGGATGTGGCCTTCTGCCTTACATTCGTGCTTCCCCACATATAATCTATACTACAGTCAAGCAATTGTGTATAAATTGGTCTGTCCTGAGAAAGTTCTGGAAAGGGCTGCTCTGCTTACTGGTATGTGCTTACTGGTGTCTATTTACTCGTTTTTCAGGACTCAAACAACCTCCCTTGGATTATTCATCGACTTTGGGAAACTCTCTCCACAGATTGCTTCCGTGCCATCTTCTCTTCTTGCCTCTCTGTCCACGACTTCGGTTCTACACACGCTAGACCTTCTGAGTGCATCTAACGTGGTTAACACTGATCACCACCAGCCTCCGCATTTTTGTCTGCTCTGGTTTGTTCTGAGCATTTAAAAAGATTTATTTAAATTGCGTGTATGTGTCGGGGGAGAATGGCTGCCTGTGAGTGTAGGTGCCTGAGGGGGCCAAAGGCGTTGGATGCCCTGAGGTTGGAGGTACAGGTGGTTGTGAGCTACCCAACACGGGTGCTGGCACTGAAAGCAAGTCCTGAGGAAGAACACTACGTGTTTCCAACCACTAAGCTGTTTCTCCATTGCCGAGTCTGGGTGTTTAAAATTTATCTGTTTTCTCGTTCGCTGATCTTGATGGCTGATGAGGTCTATCTGCTGTTAAACCTATCCACTCGGCACCCTGTGGAGGTGGGGTGTGGGTGGATGGATAGGGGCAGGGAAGGAGAGCTTGGGTTAGTTAGCTGCTACTTTTATTATGTGGCCCAGACAGGCACCAAACGCGTGACCCTCCTCCTTTAGGATTCACGACAATTCCCATCTCCACTGAGTTGTTTTTAAGATCTAGCATATTTGATATTTTAAAAATATATTCTAGGACCAGGCATGGTGGAGCACACCTATAATTCTAGCAATTGAGAGGTAGAGGCAGGTGGATCTCTCTGAGTTTGAGGCCAGCCTCATCTACAGAGTGAGTTCCAGGCCAGTTAGGGTCTACTTAGCAAAACCTTGTCTCAGCCAGCCAGCCAGCCAGCCAGCCAGCCAATCAATCAATCAATCTCCTAAGGATATTTTCCTTTGCCTGTCTTGTTCATTTCCCATCTATTTCCTCAATATATTGATTATATTTACTTTAAAATCCTTGCTGCAAACATTAACATCTGGACCATCTCTGAATCTTTCATTTTCTGGGTTCCCCCTTCCCGACTCTAAGCCTTTCTGCAGGTCCAGTCTTTTTTTTTTTAAATCTCATGCTGAAATATGCAATGATTCCATAGAATGCGACCATCTGCCAGGGGAAGTTCCCCTTCTCTGCTGGGCAAAGTAGGTAGCCAAGAAATCCCTTCTTCCCTGGGCTGCACTGGGTCAGTCTGGGTTTCAGCTCCAGTGAGGCTCAGTCTCCCTTGGTTCATCCCTGGACTCAGGGCAGGCCCTTCAAATCCACACATCTTTACAACTTGGCCAGCCTTGTACACTGGCTTCAGATTTGTACATAGCTGAGCATGGCCTTAAACTCCTGATACCCCTGCCTCATTTGCCACTACCCAACCAGCAAGTTGTGAAGGGGAACTTGGCCATGTGTCAGGTCCCTCCTCCTGTCACTTAAGCCATGGACGTCATCATCATGATCTCCTCTGGTTTCTCCATCAGTAGGAACCTTTCTGCAGAGCCCAGCTCAGTGCACAGCCTAAAGCTGCCCCCTAGTCAGTAAGCGCCCAGGTGACAGGGTATATAGGAGCTCAGTGTCCACTCCTTACTGTCTCTGGGGCTTTCATGTTTTTGTGTATTGTAGATTCCTGTCGGGGGCTTGGTTTCTGTATACTGTTAATTAAGAAGACGTCTTGGGTTGGGGAAGGGACAGTCAGCCATGTCGAAGCTCCTCCATGTTGAGTTTCAGTTCTATCTCTTTGGCCACTGCTAAGTGCTTAGCTGATTCCCCTACCCCAGCAGCATCTCTGCCAGAGCCAAGCCCCAACCTTCAGCCTGTATCCAGAATTGACAAATGTGTACAGGAGAGAGGCCGCCATCTTGGCTCTGAGTGGTCCCATCTCTCTGGCCCTCGTTGTGGTAGTGTTTTCTGATGCCCCTAAATCATATTCATGGGACTAAGGATGTAGCTATTGGGTACAGTGCTTGCTTCATATGTGCAGGGTCCTAGGTTCAAGCCCTCAAATTGTCCTTAAAGTCCTATTTTTCCTACTTGTTATCAGAGAGCACACTGGCCCACTAGAAGCTACAAACCTCACGTAGAGCAGCGTGCTGAAGCAACACAGATTCAGGCACACACTTCACTGCGTGCTTGGACATTATTCTACGGTGTTTATGGGAAACACGCAGTCTCTCACAAGGTTCCTGCTCACGTTGATTAAGCAAAGCTGGGCTCAGGCATGCCAGTCTAGCTTGTTGGTATGGCTTTAAGCTCAGCTGCTCCCCAAGTCCTGTAACAGCCCATGTATTCACTCAAAGCAGGGATTCCAGACCACTTAGCGCCTGCCCATCTTTCTCCTCTTCCATCTATAGCATGTAACGGAAAGTAGAGAGCAAGGCTGTCAGATGACAGCCCATAGCCCAGACTCACGCATCTCCTACTCTTCTGTCTCCCAAGAGAAGGGTCCAGCCACTCAGCCAGAACCAAGCTTGTGCCGGTCTCCTGGGTCCCATGTCTTTATCTCCAGCTCCAGGACATTCTTCTCACCCATACAGTCACACTCTGTATTGCACCCCTACCACAGGTAACTGGAGGTCTGTTTGTCCTCGGGACACAAGATGCTGACCGTGCAGAACTCTCGAGGATTTTTGCAGAGGGAACTGCAGCATCCTCCTCCTCCCTCATTAAAAGGTCTGCTCTGTAGTCACCACTCCCTGTCATCGCTGCAACAAACTGCCAGGGCCCTTATCTACAAGCTGGACGTCAGCCAGGAGGGAGAGAAGTGAAAGCTACATTTGCCACACTGTCCTTGTGACTCCTCACACTGGCTGGCTCCCTGCAGGCTCTACATGCCCTGGCTGGTTCCCAACAGGCTCACCCAAGGTTCTGAGACATCCTAGATCCAGAAGGAAGGAAGGGGAGGAAAGAAAAAGAAATGATGGCAGGGAAGGCCACCATTTACCATCACAGTGTCCATTTCCCTTGCCTTAACTACCCGAGGGGCTTGCACTGAGCAACATCACTGGCGGAGCAGTAAGCCACATCTATGTCAGTGAGACAACTGCCAGCTGCCTGTCCCCAGAAAATCCAGAGCATTGACCTTCAAGAGCATCAAGTGACAACCCCGGTGCGCATGCTGTCAAAACGTTCCCAGCCTTGGAATCTTCTTCCTTGTCTTGCTACTAGCATGGGGTCATCCCCTGTGCTCCACCTGGCTTGTCCACTAAGACTGAGTCCTTCAGACAAGCTGGGCAGCAGCTAGTAAGGCCTGCTCCTTCTGTGTCTGCCCCTCTCAGGCTGTCTGTCCCTCCCAGCTAACTGCACTTGCACCTGGAAGGCTTATGCATCTCTTGGAGACTCTAAATCAACATTGGCTCTCACTTTTCTCAGACTTAAAGGAAGGAAGGAAAGTGAACACGTATAAAAAGATCCCGTTAAAAACAATCCTTCTGTTTTTTTTTTTTTTTTAAAGTGGCTTGCTGTAGCCCAGGCTGACCTTGAACTTGAGATCTTCCTGACTTAGCCACCCAAGTGTTAGATTGGAGGCATGCACCTACAAAGCCAGCTGGAAAGCCTGTTTAA